TTTTTTTGATACGGGGGTTCGCTCTTGTTACCCAGGCTGGAGTGCAATGGCACGATCTTGGCTCACCGCAACCTCCGCCTCCCGGGTTCAGGCAATTCTCCTGCCTCAGCCTCCTGAGTAGCTGGGATTACAGGCACGCGCCACCATGCTCAGCTAATTTTTTGTATTTTTAGTAGAGACAGCGTTTCACCATGTTCACCAGGATGGTCTCGATCTCTTGACCTCGTGATCCACCCGCCTCGGCCTCCCAAAGTGCTGGGATTACAGGCTTGAGCCACAGCACCCGGCAAGTGTTGCTTTTAATATACCCAGAACTATGTTGATTTGTGGGTCTAGATGACCCCTGTAACAATGATGTGATCATTTCTTTTAGTTTCTACATGAGAAGGGAGAAATGATTCTTGCAGTATCTCATTAGAATATTGGCATTCTTGTGAGTAAGTGTACTTTAATTATGAAGGATTACCTTATGTGAGATCTAGCTCAGTCTTTGTCAGATAGTGGCAACATAAATGAACACAATTGTTTGACTTTCTCAAGTTATAAAGTAACTTCCAGCAAACTAGTTTCTCTTAATAACCAACTAGTGCACTGTCATTTATTATCTTATATGAGTAGTTTGTCCTTTTTGTTTTCAACATGTATTGATTTTAATGTTAATGTTACACATTTTCATAAGCTTATCTGTATTATGTTGTTGTTGTTGTTGTTGCAACAGTCTGACTCTGTCACCCAGGCTGGAGTGCAGTGGCACGATCTCAGCTCACTGCAACCTCTGCCTCCCGGGTTCAAGTGATTCTCCTGCCTCAGCCTCCTGAGTAGCTGAGAATACAGACACAGGCCACTACGCACAACTGTGGCCACCTGTACCTGTCCTTACCACAGAGACACTTAACAAGTCCCTTTCCCTGATGTTTGGTTGGTGGCTGATTTTTGTAGTTTTAGTAGAGATGGGGTTTTGCCATGTTGCCCAGGATGGTCTTGAACTACTGACCTCAGGTGATCCGCCTGCCTCCGCCTCTCAAGGTGCTGGGATTACAGGTGTGAGCTACTGCGCCTGGTCTGCTTATTTGTGTTACTACTTCATTCCTCCTTCCCCTAAAATCTCATCTGTTTTCAGGAATAGATAGATATATAAAGGTAATTTTATATAGATGAAAGAAATGTTTTTATGTACAATTCTCATTACCCTTCATAATAACTCTTCGTGTTTGATGATTTGAGACAGAACTACGTATTAGGAAATGGTATACAAAGATGTAGTTCATACCTTAACACCCATCAATCTCTTCAATATAACACAGATTATTTTCCATACAATGAATTTCCTTATACTTTTGCTCAAAACTTATCTATTCTGGTTTGGTTTAGGGGTTGGTTTATTTATTTATTTATTTATTGTTTTTTGGCGGAGGAGGGAAGAAGAGGTGAATCTCCTACAAATTCATGAGATCATCTTGAATCCCTACAGATCAATGCATACATGTAGCCTGGCATGTACCGTCAGGACAGGAGAAAAGAAAAAGGAGGGAGAAGAGAAAAATACCAGACGTAGAGAAAAGAACTGGAAGACCCAAGGATCAGGAAGAAACTAGAACCTTACTCTAAGTGATTGGACCAGTTGAAAAATAACACAAAATCATTATCAGCTATTAAAAAAAAAAAAAAAATGAGGGTTTGAGGTAAAGTCGAGTCCGATTTGTCAACAGGAAGCTGTGGGTTCTACGCCTCTATTTATACAAATGTTTGCTTTTTCCATCTTGGGTTCTGCCCAGAATGTGTCGTGACTGCTGCTTCTGGCTCTGCTTGACTGGTTTTAGAGAAGAAAAAAAAAAGAAAGAAAGAAAGAAAGAAAGAAAGAAAGAACACAACTGTGGCCACCTGTTCCTGTCCTTACCACAGAGACACTTAACAAGTCACTTTCCCTGATGTTTGGTTGGTGAAAATGCTCAAAGATAGAAGGGCTTCCTTTTTTTTTAAAATCAGAGTATTGTGTTTTTAATCAAGGCCTCCCTGAGCTGACAAAGCTACAAGGACAGTCCGGCCTCTCCTCCGCTCTCCGCTGTGCTCCTGGTGTCTTTCCATTTTACCCTAAGTTTCCAGATCCCGGAGGACTCCTTCCCCGCACTTCCCAAATTCCCTTTGAATTTGCAGTTTGACAATTCCCATCTTTTAGCTTTCCGGCTCCCCGACCCTGGTGTCAGCCTGATGTCACTCTCTCGTCCCCCTAACCCCTGGTCCGGTGCTGTTCCATCTTTCTTCCCGCTTCTTTTCAGATTCCTTTCCTTCTTCACTGTGTTACAGCAGCTTCAGTAGAAAAGGGAGAGGCATCTTAGAGGTTTCCCGTGCCTGGGCCAGGGGTAAAGTGGTTGGTTAGACATCTAACTTTGGCCACAAGTACCCTGAAGCAGAGAAGGGAGGAGCTTGTGTCTAGCAACATATACTGCTGTATATGTCATCAAAGTAAGACGCAGAAGTTGGGAGACCAGCTGGGGTTTGCACTCTCTGCTGTGAATCAAAACAATACTGAGAAGAAGTGTGCATAGAACTCTGTTTAGTGAGTAGGACACACACTTGAATTTCCAGAATGTGTTCATTTAAGGAGAATGGAGAATTTTCTTGAATCATAAGCATGGAATATGGAAGAAGGCTCAGAGTAGAATCAACTCAATCCGAGAAAAGAAAATAAGGGTGAATCTTTATGAGTAGGTAGATGAGGCTACTATGTGCAGGGTACCAGGAAGGCATTCAATACCTAATGATATTTTTACCAAATCCATTAATTCTGACATTGAAGATCCATTATTTTGGTTTAAAAAATGGCTTTTCAGGCCAGGCGTGTTGGCTCACACCTGTAATCCCAGCATTTTCGGAGGCCAAGGCGGGCGGATCACAAGGTCAAGAGATTGAGACCATCCTGGCCGACATGGTGAAACCCCATCTCTAAAAAAAAAAAAAAAAAAAAAAAAAAAAAAATACGGCCGGGCACGGTGGCTCAAGCCTGTAATCCCAGCACTTTGGGAGGTCGAGGCGGGTGGATCACGAGGTCAAGAGATCGAGACCATCCTGGTCAACATGCTGAAACCCCGTCTCTACTAAAAATACAAAACATTAGCTGAGCATGGTGGCGCGTGCCTGTGATCCCAGCTACTCAGGAGGCTGAGGCAGGAGAATTGCCTGAACCCAGGAGGCGGAGGTTGCGGTGAGCTGAGATCGCGCCATTGCACTCCAGCCTGGGTAACAAGAGCGCAACTCCGTCTCAAAAAAAAAAAAAAAAAAAAATGGCTTTTCATTTAAAGCCATTGCTTAGCAAGGTTGTCTGGGCCTACCAGGAAAAGGGACATATTTAACACCTTATTGAGTAAAATCTCTCTTCCAAATTTTTTTTTTTTTTTTTTTTTTTTTGAGATAGAGTCTCACTGTTATTGCCCAGGCTGAAATGCAGTGGCACAATCTCGGCTCAGTGCAACTTCTGCCTCCCAGGTTCAAGTGATTCTCCTACCTCAGCCTCCTGAGTACCTGGGATTACAGGCGCCCGCCACCACACCTAGCTAATTTTTTTGGTATCTTTAGCAGAGACTGGGTTTCATCATGTTGGCCAGGCTGGTTTTGAACTCCTGACCTCAGGTGATCCACCTGCCTCAGCCTCCCAAAGTGCTCGGATTACAGGCACGAGCCACCGCACCCAACCCCAAATCTTCTTTTTTTTTTTAAAAAAAAAAAAAAAAAAAAAAAAGAGGCCGGGCGCAGTGGCTCAAGCCTGTAATCCCAGCACTTTGGGAGGCCGAGGCAGGTGGATCACGAGGTCGAGAGATCCAGACCATCCTGGTCAACATGGTGAAACCCCGTCTCTACTAAAAGTGCAAAAAACTAGCTGGGCATGGTGGCGCGTGCCTGTAATCCCAGCTACTCAGGAGGCTGAGGCAGGAGAATTGCCTGAACCCAGGACGCGGAGGTTGCAGTGAGCCGAGATCGCGCCATTGCACTCCAGCCTGGGTAACAGGAGCGAAACTCCGTCTCAAAAAAAAAAAAAAAAAAAAAAGAGAGAGAGAGAAAAAGTTTTCCAGATTCTTTGCTGGGAGGGAACAGGAGAGGAAACAGGATTATCAGGGACCTGAGACGGGAGGGGGTAAACAGCAACAACTAAGGGAGGCGATGGGATCTCCGCCGGTGGGGAGGGAGCGAAGGGGAGTGGCTGGGACCAAAGCAACCACCTGAAACTCGATCTGGGACCTCTCTCAGGGGAAAGTCAGAGGGGAAATAAGGCTTTTTAAGGATGCGGAAAGAGAGGATGGAGAGAAGTTTAGAATTTGTTTTACATAGTAAGAAGAGTTTAAAAGTGTTGAGAACATGAGACCATTGAGAAATGGCAACACACAGAAATTTGATCACACAGAAGTGAGTAAAGCATGAAACTTCACCAAGAAAGACTGTCACACTTGCAGGGGACAGAAAAGAAAAATGGGGCCGCATCTGGAGGAGTATAAATACATTTGGAGTGCTGGGAAACGTATAGTAAAGTTGTGCAGTGAACGAAAAATGGACGATGGCAGAAGAGAGACATTTGAGCAATATTGGTATTCTTTTTTTCTTTTCCTTTCTTTTCTTTTTCTTTCTTTTTTTTTTTTTTTTTGAGACGGTCTTGCTCTGTCACTCAGACAGAGTGCAGCGGTGAGATCTCAGCTCACTGCCACCTCCGCCTCCCAGGTTCAAGTGATTCTCCTACCTCAGCCTCCTGAGTAGCTGGGATGACAGGCACCTGCCACCATGCCTGGCTAATTTTTGTAATTTTAGTAGACACAGGGCTTCACCATGTTGGCCAGGGTGATCTCGAACTCCTGACCTCAGGTGACCCTCCCATCTCAGCCTACAAAAGTGCTGGGATTACAGGCTTGAGCCACCATGCCAGGCCAATACTCATTTTTTAAAGTAGAATAAAAGTGCATAAATTCGTGCCTTTTTTTTTTTTTTTTTTGTAAACATAAAAGAAGTGGAAAACAACCAGAACAAGACATTTTATTCTGAAAAATAAATTGGGAAAAAATATTTTTAAATCTTTAATTTGGAACATACATAATACTGGAATTGAGGTGCTGTCTGATGGAAATGCTGCAATGTGGAGTAGGAGGGTCAAGTTCATAAAGAGATTCTTAAAATGATTCTTGAAAACTGTGCCTGTAAGATTTGTCTAAAGTGGCTACAATATGCATTTAGTGTGTCTGTCTAAATGAGTACATTTAATTCTAGAGACTGTAAGGAGTAGAGATTATATGCTTTGGGGCTTTTTCTAGCATTTCTTTTTAATCAGTTGTACAGATCCCATTAAACTAAATTGTTTCTTAACAGCAAGAATCTGATCATTTAACTAGTTTTCTCAGCAATATAAAAGGAACACAATCTCCACGGTCATATGTAAGTTGTCTCCTAGTTCCTGTGTGAATTCCATTGGTTTTTATCGAAAGTTATGGAGTTTTTCAGACAGAGAATTCATCATATATAATTTGTCATTTGTTATAATGATAGTTTGTTCTGTTACATTGTGGATTGCTATCCTTACCTAGGATAAAGCAGATATGGTTGGTGTGAATTAGACTGTATCTAAGCTTCAAGAAATACTAATAATGCATTACATCCAGAGAATTGTAGAATTAAAAGAAATCTCAGAACTATGAATATCTATTTTTTATTTTATTTTATTTTATTTTGAGATGGACTCTCATCTTGTCACCCAGGCTGGAGTGCATTGATGCGATTTTGGCTCACTGCAACTTCTGCCTCCCAGGTTCAAGTGATTCTCCTGCTTCAGCCTCCCGAGTAGCTGGGATTACAGGCTCCCGCCACCATGCCTAGCGAATTCTTGTATTTTAATAGAGATGGGGTTTCAGGCTGATCTCAAACTCCTGACCTCAAGTGATCCACCTGCCTCAGCCTCCCAAAGTTCTGGGATTACAGGTGTGAGCCACTGCGCCCTGAAGAACTAATATAAATTTAACCTTCTCATTTTAAAGATGACCTTAAACCAGGACCTAATGAAGGAAAATGACTTATCCAAGGCTACATGGTGACTTCTAGAGCCAGTATAAGAATGTGGGTTGTCTGAATATTGTGTTTCTTTCACTCTTTATGTTAACCATTAGGCATGCTTTCTGTCTGCCTATTAAAATTCAAGTGTGAATGCTCTTCTTAGCCCCAATTAGGATATTCCGGAAGCCATCTACATAGTAAATCTACTGTGCACTCGGTCAGTCATGAGGATGAACGAAGTCGCAACTCAAAGAAATGCCAAACAATGATACGGTTTCACATGAAGTTGTCTAATTTACTTTGTGGAGGTGGGTTAACCCCAGCGCTACCATAAGCGAATCAGTAAATGAGACTGACTTTCCAGCCTTACTTCCCAACCTGACAACTGCATGAAAAATTGAATTGGGAATTATGAGTCCAAGTTCTAGATCTGGCATAGTCCTCATAAGCTCAACAGAAGACATTTTGGGTCCTTATATGTTGCTAGTAGGATTGTATAATTCTTAGCTGTGTTGCAGAATCTTCCAGGACTATAAACATTACCGTGATCTGTCTCATAAGGAATACTTGCCAGCCAAATTTTCAGGCAGGCCAGCAAAATAGTTAAAATAAGAGTAAAGAGGAACATGTAAATATGGGGAGTTAATCTAGGAAACTCTAGTGAGGAAAATAAATGAAGTTATATGGTTAGCTGAAATAGACAAGGATAACTTCTTCAATCCTAAGATCTATATCAGACAGATTCAATAGTAAAGATCATTAGCCTAAAGTCTAGTCTCCCTTGAAATTGTACATAGAATGTTTGTATATAAGCCATATACACTCATCATCTATCGACTACGTGCATGATATTGAGAAGCAGCGAATTTATGCAATAATATAGGCTTTGTATTTTACGTGCTAAAAAATGAGATAAATGTTATCAGTTTGGGTGAAAAATGAGAGAGTAGGGGTAAAAGTTGGACATTGCAAAAGGATTGGTTTAAGAAATACTGTCAGTAGGTTAGCTGTCAGTGGTTAAAGAAGAAGGAGCTTCTCCTTCCTCTCACCCACATATTTTTTCTTCTTTCCTCTTTTTTGATGATCACAGACCACTGGGTTTCTGCAAATCCACATTTTCACAGAGATTGACTAGGACGTAATTGGAGCGACGACGGAGTTTGCTAGGGGGCAGACCAACCATCTGGCGGCAAAGTTCATCTAGAAGAGAAGGACAGGATGGGAAGAGAATGCAGGAAGGTAACAGAGGCTCTTGTTTGAAGGAATAGAGAAAACTTGCCAGTGTGGTGTAGTGTAAAGGCTGGAGAGAAAAAGATCTGGGTTTCAACCAGCTCTGCTACTTACTCTAGCTATTTACTACTTCCTAGAAAGTTTCTCAAATGTTGTAAATCTCACTATCCCTTTCTGTAAAACGAGAATTAAAATACCTACCTCAACAGTATATTTCTGAATATTAAAATGAAATCACGTATGCAAAGAACCTAGCACAGGTGACCAGTAAATGTTAGTTTCCTTTATATATCCAGCTGCCAATTCTTCTAATCATGGATGTATTAAATAGAAAAATGAGGTCCAGTCATTCATTATACATGTACATGCTTACTATGGGCAAATAGCTAACTTTAGCAAATCCCCTGAGATGCTTGAAAGTGCCTAGAGTCCCAAATACTCATCCTCAATCTCAAGGTGCTTCCCTTGCAGGTGGCTTGCACAAAGCCAATGGGGGCATACAGCAAGTTTCCTTCTGCGAAGTTAACTACAGCTCTTACTCAGGAACTCAGCGCAACGCGGGCTGCTGAGTCAGAAATGGCTTTGTCTGTGGTGTCTTCACCAACCACAGCCATCATTTGGGGCTGGCCACGGGGAAGGTGAGACGTATCTTTGTTCCCACCAAGTAAGGTCTATAACCACACATTGTGGGCCCTTGTAATTGGTTCTATAACATCTTTCTACCTTCTTCTACCTGAAATGTCACAGTAAGAAATGTACATTGTTCCTGGAATTGGCAAACTATTTATAACGTAGCTGATTTCTAAATGTCCCATCTATTTTTAATTTATAGGCCCTATCCAAACCTTGTCATCTCCAAATTAGTGCATGTGCGTGTGCGTGTGTAAGTTTTACTTTTAATTATGAACATGGCTGCAGACTAGCAGAGTTTATTATCTGAAACCGGTGATTTGAAATTTTTCCTAGAACCCCAGTGAATAATCTTTAAAATAGCTGGAGTGTCAGAAAGCTCTCTAAGTAAGAGACACTGTGGGGTTACAATCTAGCAGGAAAGGGATCTAGGGGTACTTTTCTTAGGGTTGTGTTTCTTTTTTTTTTTGAGATGGAGTTTCGCTCTTGTTACCCAGGCTGGAGTGCAATGGCGCGGTCTTGGCTCACCGCATCCTCTGCCTCCTGGGTTCAGGCAATTCTCCTGCCTCAGCCTCCTGAGTAGCTGGGATTACAGGCACATGCCACCATGCCCAGCTGATTTTTTGTATTTTTAGTAGAGACAGAGTTTCACCATGTTGACCAGGATGGTCTCGATCTCTTGACCTCGTGATCCACCCACCTCGGCCCAAAGTGAGGGCTGTTTCTATATCAAGCATACTGCTTTACATAGATTGTTTATTTGGGATAACTTCCAGCAGGAGCTGATGGAATCTAGGTGGATAGCCTAAACCCCTCCTCCAATACCAGACTTTGTATATATTGTCCCCAATATCATGTCCCTATTTACCCCTCTCATAACTGCTTCTCCCCAGTAAACATCCAGACATCATCTTACCTTTCATAGCTTCGTGTTCCTTACAGACAAGACGGGTGCAGATCTCCTGGTTGACAAGGTACGTACGCCGAAACCTGCAGACATCCCAATGTCATCGTCAAGGAAGGAGATGGAAGAAAGCCTTGAGAGAAGCCCTATCCTGGGTCTGGGATGCTTCTTCAGCTCTCCTATTCCCCACTTTCCCCTGTCTGCTCTTCCCCAAATGGATTTCCTTAAGTATTTCAGACATTTTCCTCCCACACGCCGGGGGAACATAGGGGAGGGAAGGGTATTCATTACTCTTCTATTTTTTTAATTTTCATTTCAATAGTTTCTGGTGTGCAAGTGGTTTTCGTTTACATAGATGAGTTCTTTCGTGGTGATTTCTCAGGTTTTGGTTCACCTGTACCTGGCAGTGTACACTGTACCCACTATGCAATCTTTTATCCCTCATCTTCTCCCACCCTTTCCCCTGAGTCCCCAGAGTCCATGACATCATTATTATGCTTTTGCCTTCTGATAGTTTAGCTCCCACTTATAAGTGAGAAGAGATAATATTTGGTTTTCCTGTTTAGTTACTTCATTTAGAATAATGGCTTCCAAGGCCGGGCGCGGTGGCTCAAGCCTGTAATCCCAGCACTTTGGGAGGCTGAGGCGGGTGGATCACGAGGTCAAGAGATCGAGACCATCCTGGTCAACATGGTGAAACCCCGTCTCTACTAAAAAACATACAAAAAATTAGCTGGGCGTGGTGGCACGTGCCTGTAGTCCCAGCTACTCAGGAGGCTGAGGCAGGAGAATTGCCTGAACCCAGGAGGCGGAGGTTGCGGTGAGCCAAGATCGCGCCATTGCACTCCAGCCTGAGTAACAAGAGCGAAACTCCGTCTCAAAAAAAAAAAAAAAAAAAAGAAGAATGGCTTCCAGTTCCATCCAAGTTGTTGCAAAGGCCATTGTTTTCATTATTGTTCTTAGTGACACTTTGCCCACTCCGCCTAGAGTCAGGCTTAATATTTCTCCCCACCGTTTTCTACCTTAGAGTTGGATTGCTTCTGCCTCCTTCTATCAGGTAATTAATGGAGCATACCAGTGTTTCCCTCGTGACTCTTCTTCCTCCAGCCCTCAACTTCACTCACCACTTGCCTATTCTTTGTATACCTCGGCCCAGACTCCAGATTCTAGCGGGCACATTCAGGAATAACTAGGAGGGTTGTGCTAACAACTTTCGCCCTATTAAAGTTTGCAGTTTCATAGTGGGTGCTCATTACATAGTTACCAACACAAAAACACTACCATGGGAGATGCTTTTTGGGCATTCTGGGATCCCTTACTTGATGAAGCATGACTGATGAACGCACAGTCGAACTGGCCGACGAACAGAGTAGAGCCTTGTGCAAACAAATTGGTCAACCCGGCAATCTGAAGAAGCCCAACACAAAAAATAAGGAGGTCCAAATAGAAGCAGCATAAACAAAGGATTAAAGGAATTGGGAAAGAGAGATAGAGGAGAAAAAAATACAGAGTCATCTCTGCAGAGAGTCATTGTAAATTGGGCTACACCCTTTCTGCTCACCAAAAACAGAGCAAGAAGAAATTGACTAAATGAAGTTTTGGTGATCTCTGGGAGCACTTCTAGGGATAAAGTCATTCTAGGATTATCCAATAGAAAATAGGCTGGGTGCAGTGGTTCATGCCTGTAATTCCAGCACTTTAGGAGGCCGAGGCGGGTGGATCACTTGAGGTCAGGAGTTTGAGACCAGCCTGGCCAACATGGTGAAATGCTGTCTCTACTAAAAATTCAAAAATTAGCCAGGAGTGGTGGTGCACGCCTGTAATCTCAGCTCCTTGGGAGGCTGAGGGACAAGAATTGCTTGAACCTCGGAGGCAGAGGTTGCAGTGAGCTGAGATTATGCCACTGCACTCCAGCCTGGGTGACAGAGCAAGACTACATCTCAAAAAAAAAAAAAATTGTTATATATGTATATTTATATATATGTGTACTCTGTGCATCAGCACAATAATATATATTATGTACACATATATATTATATACAATTATATCTATATATTATATAGATATATATTTATACATAAAATGTAAATGCTGACAATCCCATTCTGAAAAAATAAAATTTCTTAGGCAGGTTGCTATTTCTCTGTTCCAGTAGTTTTCAACCCTAGAAATTTATCAGGATTATCAGTACATTAGGAAAGCAATTTTAGCCGGGCGCGGTGGCTCAAGCCTGTAATCCCAGCACTTTGGGAGGCTGAGGTGGGTGGATCACGAGGTCAAGAGATCGAGACCATCCTGGTCAACATGGTGAAACCCCGTTTCTACTAAAAATACAAAAAATTAGCTGGGCATGGTGGCACGTGCCTGTAATCCCAGCTACTCAGGAGGCTGAGGCAGGAGAATTGCTTGAACCCAGGAGGTGGAGGTTGCGGTGAGCCGAGATCACGCCATTGCACTCCAGCCTGGGTAACAAGAGCGAAACTCCATCTCAAAAAAAAAAAAAAAAAAAAAAGGAAAGCAATTTTAACTATGACATCTATGGTAATATGGAGTCCTTGCCATTAAATTGATTTCACTTCCCAAGTCACTAACCACCAAATAAAGTCCAAGGGTATTTTAGGGAGAGGGCTATCTGGGGACCATGCAACATTCATTCCATTCTTTCCTCATGATTTTTATGAAAGACACTCATTTAAAAAAAAAAAAAAAAAAAAAGGAGCCGGGCGCAGTGGCTCAAGCCTGTAATCCCAGCACTTTGGGAGGCTGAGGCAGGTGGATCACGAGGTCAAGAGATCAAGACCATCCTGGTCAACATGGTGGAACCCCGTCTCTACTAAAAATACAAAAAATTAGCTGGGCATGGTGGCGCATGCCTGTAATCCCAGCTACTCAGGAGGCTGAGGCAGGAGAATTGCCTGAATCCAGGAGGTGGAGGTTGCAGTGAGCCGAGATGGCGCCATTGCACTCCAGCCTGGGAAACAAGAGTGAAACTCCGTCTCAAAAAAAAAAAAAATTTAAAAAAAATAAAAAATAAAAATAAAAGTACAAAAATTAGCTGGGCATGGTGGTGCGTGCCTGTAATCCCAGCTACTCGGGAGGCTGAGGCCAGAGAATTGCCTGAACCCAGGAGGCGGAGGTTGCAGTGAGCCGAGATCGCGCCATTACACTCCAGCCTGGGTGACAAGAGTGAAACTCCGTCTCAAAAAAAAAAAAAAAAAAGGAGTCAGAAAGTGAAGAATACTAATACTCTGAGAAATTGGAAGTAAACTAGAAGATGTACCCCAAAGAACGAGGAGATAAGGAATCCACAGGAAGAAAAAAAGGCGTAAGATGACATGCAAGCAGCAATCATACCTGCAGTGGCATTTTTATCACCGGGGGAGGCTGGAAGGCAGAAATTTTATAACATTATTACCAATTCTAGAAGTTACTACCGATGTAATTACCATGCTGTCTCACTTGGGTCCTGCTCGGAGTCCCATAAATAGGGAGCAAATTAATGTATAACTCTTAGCAACTTCTAAAAGAAAACCTTATTGGGCTGATTTGCTCCACAAAATTGAAGAGATGAGGAGGTAGGATGGGATTTTTTTCCTTTCTCCTTTCCTTTCTAAAGAGCTGAGAAATTCAATGTATTGTGAGTATCTCTGTATGTTGACAAGAAGCAAATTTAGTAAGAACACAAGCCAAAAAGCTGGATGCCCAGAGGAGCGTCTTTTAGAACTTAGGAGAGAAAAGATTATTATGCTGTACCAGCTCTTCCTTAAAAGGAAAATTTTATTTTCTGTAGATTACATATATCATCAAGAATTCTTTTGATAAAAGTTGTTGGGTAAAGAATAATGAGGGTGAGCTGGGCATGGTGTCTCACATCTGTAATCCCAGCACTTTGGGAGGCTGAGGCAGGTGGATTATTTGAGGTCAGGAGTTCAAGACCAGGCTGGCCAACATGGTGAAACCCCATCTCTACTAAAAGTACAAAAATTGGCTGGGCATAATGGCTCACACCTGTAATCCCAGCACTTTGGGAGGCCAAGGCAGGTGGATCACAATGTCAGAAGTTCAAGACCAGCCTGGCCAACATAGTGAAACCCCTACTAAAAATGCAAAAATTAGCTGGGTGTGGTGGCATGTGCCTGTAGTCCCAGCTACTTGGGAGGTTGAGGCAGGAGAATCACTTGAACCTGAGAGGCGGAGGTTGCAGTGAGCCAAGACCACGCCATTGCACTCCAGCCTGGGTGACAGAGTATGACTCCATCTCAAAAAAAATAAATAAATACAAATAATTTTTTTTTTTTTTTTTGAGACGGAGTTTCGCTCTTGTTACCCAGGCTGGAGTGCAATGGCGCGATCTCGGCTCAGCGCAATCTCCGCCTCCTGGGTTCAGGCAATTCTCCTGCCTCAACCTCCTGAGTAGCTGGGATTACAGGCACGCGCCACCATGCCCAGCTACTTTTTTGTATTTTTAGTAGAGACGGGGTTTCACCATGTTGACCAGGTTGGTCTCGATCTCTCGACCTTGTGATCCACCCGCCTCGGCCTCCCAAAGTGCTGGGATTACAGGCTTGAGCCACCGCGCCCGGCCTAAATTTTTTTTTAAATACAAAAATTAGTTGGGTGTGGTGATGTGCTCCTATAATCCCAGCTACTTAGGAGGCTGAGGCAGGAGAATTGCTTGAACCCAGGAGGCGGAGGCTGCAGTGAGCCAAGACCATACCATTGCATTCCAGCCTAGGCAACAGAGGTAGACTTTGTGTCAAAAAAAAAAGAATATTGAGGGTCATCCTAACCCAGGAGCAAATTTAACATGGGTCTTGTTCACAGAATGAAGAACAAGTCAGGGGTGTTACCAGGGAAAATGTCACTGGAAGTGTTGGGAATACAATGCTAGGAAGTATGTTATGATATCTCACCTATCTCATGGTTTTAAGCCAAGTCTCTATACTGATAATTACCAAACCTATGTTTTCAATCCCATCTCTCTCCTAAGCTCCAAACCTATAAATCCAACTGCCATTTTATGGAAGAGTTCTTGAATTTTTCAAAGATCCTTCATATCCGACGTATCTCAAACTGACTTATCTTTCCCTTCGCCAATTCTATTCTTCAGTGAATGAGACCAACATCCACACAGTAACTACATCTAGTCATCTCAGCAATCTGCTCTCCCTAATAGCTCATATTTGGTTCTCACTCTCTCTACCTTGATTCAAGCCAGCTTCTATCTATCTATCTATCTATCTATTTATTTATAGACGGAGTCTCACTCTGTCTCGCAGGCTGGAGTACATTGGCATGATCTCGGCTCACTGCAACCTCCGTCTCCCAGGTTCAAGCAATTCTCCTGCCTCAGCCTCCTGAGTAGCTGGGATTACAGGTGCGTGCCGCCACACCCGGGTAATTAATTCATGTGCCAGAATCTTTTATTGGCAACACCGCAGCAGTAGCCTTGCTGGTTTTCCCGCTTCCAGGCGATCATGGTCAAATAAAGTTCTCCACACTGCCCTGGGAGTACAGTAGCGGGTGTGGAGGTGGGGCATGATCTTTCTAATGCACAAATCTAATTATAATCTTATTTTGCATAAATGTCTCTCTGGTTGGTTTTCATGTCCACCCTACACTTTTTAATTTATGTTGTCTTCCTTACCTAAAAGCTCTTCCCTCTTCTATCCACTCGGTTCACTTCTACTTGTCTTTCAGGAAGCAGCTTAGTCAAATGTGCCCTCCAGAAAAAGCCTTTTCTCACCCCCGGCACTGAACCTAGCCAAAAACTCTTTCTGTGTCTTCCATAGCTTCTCTTGCTTACTCTAATTATAGAATTTTGTGAAACTGATTAAAGTTGTCTATCTTGTATATTACACAAAAGATGTCTAGTAGAAGAAAATCAGTTTTGTTCACTTTTATATCCTTGGCACCCAGTAGCAGGTTTTCAATAACGATTTGTTAAAAAATAATCTAGCTACCTATAATCTCAGCACTTTGGGAGGCCAAGGTGGCAGAGAACTTGAGGTCAGTAGTTTGAGACCTGCTTGGCCAACATGGCAAAACCCTGTCTCTACTAAAATACAGAAAAATAGCTGAGCATGGTGGTGCATGCCTATAATCCCAGCTACGTGTGAGGCTGAGGTTGCAACGAGCTGGGATCGTGCCACTGCACTCCAGCCTGGACAATAGAGTACTCTGTCTCAAAACAAACAAACAAACAAAAATGTAGCTTCCCTCTCCTTTTCTCACTTCCTACAACTTGGCCCATATAGTTTTTTCTCTAGCCGTCCAAAAAAAAAAACCAAAACCTCAGTTTCCCTCATGGGCCAAACTCCCTTTGCTTTTACATCTTTTATTTTATTTTATTTTGAGACAGAGTTTCACTCTTGTTGCCAGGCTGGAGTGCAATGGCATGATCTTGGCTCACTGCAACCTCCACCTCCCGGATTCAAGCAACTCTCCTACCTCAGCCTGCTGAGTAGCTGGGATTACAGGCATGTGCCACCATGCCCGGCTAATTTTGTATTTTTTTTTTTAGTAGAGACGGGGGTTTCTCCATGTTGGTCAGGCTGGTCTGAACTCCCGACCTCAGGTGATCCTCCTCCAAAAGTACTGTGATAACAGGCATAAGCCACTACACCCAACCACTTTTATATCTCTAAACATGCTTTTCCCTCTGGCTGGAATGTCCATCCCCTCCTTGACCTCCGGGCTTTCTCCAATTCTTCTTCTTCTTTTTTTTTTTTTTTTTTTTTGAGATGGAGTTTCGCTCTTGTTACCCAGGCTGGAGTGCAATGGCGCGATCTCGGCTCACCGCAACCTCCGTCTCCTGGGTTCAGGCAATTCTCCTGCCTCAGCCTCCTGAGTAGCTGGGATTACAGGCACACGCCACCATGCCCAGCTAATTTTTTGTATCTTTAGTAGAGACGGGGTTTCACCATGTTGACCAGGATGGTCTCGATCTATCGACCTCGTGATCCACCCGCCTCGGCCTCCCAAAGTGCTGGGATTACAGGCTTGAGCCACCGCGCCCGGCTCTCCAATTCTTCTTTAAAAATTCAGCTGAGGCTGGGCCCACTGGCTCACGCCTGTAATCCCAGCACTTTGAGAGGCCAAAGCAGGTGGATCACCTGAGGTCAGGAGTTCAAGACCAGCCTCACCAACGTGGCAAAACCCCATCTCCGTTGAAAATTTAAAAACTAGCAAGGCATAGTGGTGGGTGCCTATAATCCCAGCTACTTAGGAGGCTGAGGCAGGAGAATTACTTGAACTCAGGAGGCAGAGGTTGCGGTGAGCTGAGATCGGGCCATTGCACTCCAACCTGGGCAACAAGAGCAAGACTCTGTCTCAAAAAAAAAAAAAAAAAAAATATTGGTCAAAGCAGAGGTTACTTCTACCCCTTATCTTCCAGAACATGTGTTTCTACTTTTATCTTGCCTTTACCCGTCAAGTCTTGAAACTTTGAGAGAAAGATTAACACAGTTCCTGCTTGTTGGGTGTTCAACAATGTCATCAGTTTGAATTGAACTACTGGAAAAATGGGCCACATAAACTGTCATCCTGTCTATTTAGGATCCTTCAGCAGCTGCACATCATCCAGAATGGGCTGTGGAGAAAGCCTAGAATGGCCCTGATGGCCCTGGGGTCCCAGATCTGAACTCACCCACGTCATCTGTGGAAGGTGAAATATCAGCCAGAACTGCAAAGACATAAAACAGCAGGTATAAGGAGTGCTTCAGATTGCAAAAATAAGGCAGAGGAAGAAGAGAGAGAATGCAGATACCACGGCAAGGGCCAGGCTATGGCTGGGTTTGTGTTTTATGCATAAGGGGATATAACTGATTGAAATAATTATGAAATTTTTTAAAGAATATTAGTCCTAGGCCGGGTGCAGTGGCTCATGCCTGTAATCTCAGCACTTTGGAAGGCCAAGGTGGGCAGATCATGAGGTCAGGAGTTTGAGATCAGTCTGGCTAACATGGTGAAACCCCATCTTTACTAAAAATATGAAAAATTGGCCGGGCACGGTGGCTCAAGCCTGTAATCCCAGCACTTTGGGAGGCCGAGGTGGGTGGATCATGAGGTCAAGAGATGGAGACCATCCTGGTCAACATGGTGAAACCCTAACTCTACTAAAAATACAAAAAATTAGCCGGGCATGGCAGCGCACCTGTAATCTCGGCTACTTGGGAGGCTGAGGCACGAGAATGGCTTGAACCCAGGAGGCAGAGGTTGCAGTGAGCTGAGATCTCACCACTGCACTCCAGCCTGGGCGTCAGAGCAAGACTCCGTCTCAAAAAACAAAACAAAACAGAAAAAGATTATTAGTCCTGGGTGGGGTGCAGTGGCTCACATCTGTAACCCCAGAATTTTGGGAGGCTGAGGTGGGTGGATCACTTGAGGTCAGGAGTTCTTTAAGACTAGCCTGGCCAACATGGTAAAACCCTATCTCTACTAAAAATACAAAAATTAGCATGGTGCTGGGCGCCTGTAATCCCAGCTACTCAGGATGCTGAGGCAGGAGAATCACTTAAACACAGGAGGCGGAGGTTGCAGCAAGCTGAGGTTGTGCCACTGCACTCCAGCCTAGGCTACAGAGCTAGACTCTGTCTCAAAAAAAAAAAAGAAAAGAAAAGAAAAAAGAAAATCAGCACTGTCACTGTGACACTCTCACAGCATCTCTATCCAAAGATAAAAGCAGGCTGGGCGAGGTGGCTCACACCTGTAATCCCAGTGCTTTTCGGGGCCAAGGCCAAGTGTTCAAGACTAGCTAGGCTGACATGGTGAAACCCTGTGTCTACTAAAAATACAAAACTTAGTTGGGCATGGTGGTGGATGCCTGTAATCCCAGCCACTCGGAAGGCCAAGGAAGGAGAAGTACCTGAACCCTTGAACCCAGGAAGTGGAGGTTGTCATGAGCTGAAATTGCACCACTGCACTCCAGCCTGGACAACAGAGTGAGACTCCTCAAAAACAAACAACAGCAACAACAACAAAAAGATAAAAGCACAGAATAAATCCAAGAGCTGGAATAAATATTGTGAATATTAACGAGAACTATGCCATTAAAAAAAAAAAACTACAGTAAATTGGCTGGGCGCAGTGGCTCACGCCTGTAATCCAAACACTTTGGAGGCCAAGGCAGGCGGATCACCTGAGGTCGGGAGTTCAAGACCAGCCTGACCAACATGGTGAAACCCCGTCTTAACAACAACAATAACTAAAAACTACTGTAAATCTTTTTTTTTCTTTTCTTTTCTTTGAGACGGAGTTTCGCTCTTGTTACCCAGGCTGGAGTGCAATGTCGCGATCTCGGCTCACCGCAACCTCCGCCTCCTGGGTTCAGGCAATTCTCCTGCCTCAGCCTCCTGAGTAGCTGGGATTACAGGCACACGCCACCATGCCCAGCTAATTTTTAGTATTTTTAGTAGAGACGAGGTTTCACCATGTTGACCAGGATGGTCTCGATCTCTTGACCTCGTGATCCACCCGCCTCGGCCCCCCAAAGTGCTGGGATTACAGGCTTGAGCCACCGCGCCCAGCCTGTAAATCTTACCTGTTTCATCTGTAGCAGGATCATTCACCAGATCTGCAAAGACACATGACAAGGAATGAAAAAAATTTCAATTACGAAAAGTAGCTAAGGAAAGCTGGATAAAGGGATGATAATCTCAAAGGATACAAGAAAGTCTGAAACGAAAGCATGTGGACTCAGACAGATGAGGGACTATCACATAAAGAAATGGACAAGAGAATAAGATTGGGCACGAGTGGCTGGGCACTGTGGCTCATGCCTGTAATCCCAGCACTTTGGGAGGCTGAGGCAGGCAGCTCACAAGATCAGGAGATTGAGACCATCCTGGCTAACACAGTGAAACCCTGTCTCTACTAAATATACCAAAAACATTAGCCAGGCGAGGTGGCACATGCCTGTAGTCCCAGCTACTCGGGAGACTGAGGCAGAAGAATCGCTTGAACCCCAGAGGTGGAGGTTACAGCGAGCCTAGATCGCACCACTGCACTCCAGCCTGGGTGACAGAGTGAGACTCTGTCTCAAAAAAAAAAAAAAAGAAAAAAAAGATTGGGCATGGGTACAGAGATGCTGGCATCTAAGGTGACATCAGAGCTCTGCATGAGCTCAAAGCATGCACCAACCCTTTTGAAGTGTTTATTTTTCTTTATATAGACATGGCCCTCAATCTATCCCAATAAAACAGCAATTTTTAAAAAAAGTTTAGCTTACTAGGATCTTCTGTGAAAGTTTCTGGCGTCACTGAAGTCACATCGTCTGAAAAGAAAATTAGAAAGCATTTTCTGAGACTCTCTGCGCCCCTGCCACCCTTGCACTTCCAATAAGTTACATTGTGTAGCATAGTGCCCAGCTGAGTTGAGTATCCCACAATTGCTTTTCCTTGATTGCTTACTACAATCACAATCTGTCGATGACTTCTTTGCAATACTTATTTAAAATGAAATTGGCCATACCAAAGACATTGTATTGTTGACATTCATAATTCTGATATCATTGGGTATAAATTTGCTGATATGCTTATGAGTGTTCATAAAAGGTAGTTTTTTTTTGTTTTGTTTTGTTTTTTTTGAGACGGGGTTTCGCTCTTGTTACCCAGGCTGGAGTGCAATGGCGCGACCTCAGCTCACCGAAACCTCCGCCTCCTGGGTTCAGGCAATTCTCCTGCCTCAGCCTCCTGAGTAGCTGGGATTACAGGCATGCGCCACCATGCCCAGCTAATGTTTTGTATTTTTAGTAGAGACAGGGTTTCACCATGTTGACCAGGATGGTCTCAATCTACTGACCTCGCGATCCACCCGCCTCGGCCTCCCAAAGTGCTGGGATTACAGGCGTAAGCCACCGCACCTGGTCCTGTATTAATTTTTTTTTTTACGAGCCTCACTCTGTCACCCAGGCTGAAGTACAGTGGCCAATCCTGGCTCGCTGCAACCTCCACGCAAGTTCAAGCAAATCTTGTGACTCAGCTTCCCGAGTAGATGGGATTACAGGTGCACACTACCACACCTGGCTAATGTTTGTGTTTTTAGTAGAGACGGTTTCACCACGTGGACCAGGCTGGTCTTAAACTCCTGACCTCAAGTGATACACCCACCTTCGTTTCCCAAAGTGCTGGGATTACAGGTGTGAGTCACCACGCCCAGCCGTGTTGATGGTTTTCTGATACTCATTGAGAAGTGAGGTGAAAATGGAGAGGGAAAATGCCAATGTAAGTAGAGAATGGTTTGCATTTGATCACTGGAAAGTAAAGGCAGGAGGAAAAGAAATAAAAATGGTCGGCCGGGCGCTGTGGCTCACGCCTGTAATCCCAGCACTTTGGGAGGCCAAGGCGGGTGGATCACAAGGTCAAGAGATCGAGAGCATCCTGGTCAACATGGTGAAACCCCGTCTCTACTAAAACAAATACAAAATATTAGCTGGGCATGGTGGCGCGTGCCTGTAATCCCAGCTACTCAGGAGGCTGAGGCAGGAGAATTGCCTGAACCCAGGAGGCGGAGGTTGCAGTGAGCCGAGATTGCGCCATTGCACTCCAGCCTGGGTAACAAGAGCGAAACTCTGTCTCAAAAAAAAAAAAAAGAAATAAAAATGGTCCAGGTCTTAAGGTGGAATCTATTATATTAGGATAAAGTGAGAAAACTATTTCTGAAACTGCAAATAATAGCAATTCCTAAAACCAATGGTCTCTACTTTAAAAAGCAAAATAACAAAACAGCATTAACATTTACTTTTGTTTTTTAATTTACATATAAATTATATTGTATGTATTTAAGGTATGACATTTTGATAGATGTGTATAAAGTGAAATGGTTACTACAGTCAAGCAAATTAACATATCCATATCCTCACTAGTTTTCTTTTTTGTATGTATATAATAAGAGCACCTGGAATCTACTCTCTTAGCAAATAACATTTAAATATTTAGCAAACAGGCCTAGCCCAGTGGCTCACGCCTGTAATCCTAACACTCTGGGAGGCCCAGGCAGGTGGATCATTTAAGATCACGAGTTCAAGACCAGTCTGATCAACACGGTAAACCCTGTCCTTACTGAAAATACAAAAATTAGCCAGGTGTGGTGGTGTGCACCTGTAAGTCCAGCTACTCAGGAGGCTGAGACAGGAGAATAACTTGAACCCGGGAGGCAGAGCTTGTAGTGAGCCAAGATTGCACTATTACACTCCAGCTTGGGCAACAAGAGCGAAACCCCATCTCAAAAATAAAATGAAATAAAATAGAATAAAGTAAAATAGAATAATAAAAGAATAAATAAATATTAAACATACCATCAGCAATTACCCTTAATGTAGTTTATAGTCATAATCCATTCTACCCACTAGGGGTCAGCAAATTCACATATGTAGTTTCCTTTAAGTTTTTTTTTTTTTTTTTTTTTTTTTTGAGACTGACTCTCGCCCTGTCACCCAGGCTGGACGCCCTGTCACCCAGGCTGGAGTACAGTGATGGCATAACCTCGGCTCACTGCAACCTCTGCCTCCCAGATTCAAGCAATTCTCCTGCCTTGGCTTCCTGAGTAGCTGGGACTACAGGTGTGCACCACCATGCCCAACTAGGATTACAGGCACACACCACCAACGCCAATCTAATTTTTGTATTTTTAGTAGAGATGGGGTTTTACCATGTTGGTCAGGCTGATCTTGAACTCCTGACCTCAAGTAATCCGATTACCTTGGCCTCCCAAAGTGCTGGGATTACAGACATGAGGCACCACGCCCGGCCTGACTTCTTTTTTCATCTTCAGGTTATATTAATAAATGTCAGCTGTACATATGATGAGACCATACTTTTTTTTTTTTTTTTTTTTTTCCTTTTGAGACGGAGTTTCGCTCTTGTTACCCAGGCTGGAGTGCAATGGCGCGATCTCGGCTCACCGCAACCTCCGCCTCCTGGGTTCAGGCAATTCTCCTGCCTCAGCCTCCTGAGTAGCTGGGATTACAGGCACGAGCCACCATGCCCAGCTAATTTTTTGTATTTTTAGTAGAGACGGGGTTTCACCATGTTGACCAGGATGGTCTCGATCTCTTGACCTCGTGATCTACCTGCCTCAGCCTCCCAAAGTGCTGGGATTACAGGCGTGAGCCACCGCACCCGGCGAGAACATACATTTTTATAAAGCATGTCACAGTTACAGATAATTGTAGAAAAGGTAAAATACACATAAAGCATTTTGTAGGAGTTTCCCTTGCTTACCTCATCCTTTTTTCTAAATCCCAGATAGAAATTCGTCAGATTTGTCCAGGCTTTGGTGGCTCATGCCTGTAATTCCAGCATTTTTGGGAGGCCAAGGCATGCAAATCACTTGAGGTCAGGAGTTCAAGACCAGCCTGGACAGCATGGCGAAACCCCATCTCTACTAAAAATACAAAAATTAGCTTGGCATTGGTGGTGTGTGCCTGTAGTCCCAGTTACTCAGGAGGCTAAGGCAGGAGAATCAATTGAACCCAGGAAGTGGAGGTTGCAGTGAGCTGAGATCGCTGCCACTGCACTGTACTTCCACCTGGGACAGGGCAAGACTCTGTCTCAAAAAAAAAAAAGAAAAAAGAAAAAAAGAAAAACACATCAGGTTTGACAAAAACAAGCCTCTTAACCTTTAACACTCATTAGAGGCTTTCTTCTTTCAGACGCCTTTTTAAGTCGAATGGCACTGATTAGGAGAACAATCTTTAATAAAAGGAATCCAAGTCTGTTCCAGTCCCATAGGATATTTGAAATACCACTAACCTGAATCATTCTAGAGACTGCAAGAGAGGAGCAGAGCTTCTCCTGGGTGTACCCCAATCTCAGTTCCCTTTCTCCAGAGACCTAGCTACATTCCAGTCCAGCTACTCACAGAAACAGGAGCAAAGCGATGGGAGAACAGGGGGCTTAAGAATGTATCCTGGCCAGGCGCGGTGGCTCAAGCCTGTAATCCCAGCACTTTGGGAGGCCAAGGCGGGTGGATCACGAGGTCAAGAGATCGAGACCATCCTGGTCAACATGGTGAAACCCTGTCTCTACTAAAAATACAAAAAATTAGCTGGACATGGTGGCGTGTGCCTGGAATCCCAGCTACTCAGGAGGCTGAGGCAGGAGAATTGCCTGAGCCCAGGAGGCGGAGGTTGCGGTGAGCCGAGATCGCGCCATTGCTCTCCAGCCTGGGTAACAAGAGCGAAACTCCGTCTCAAAAAAAAAAAAAAAAAAGAATGTATCCTAGCTGTCTCTGGGATTTCAGGGCAGAGTACTGCTTTTCTGCATATACCTCAGTTTAACCAACTTTTCCAAGAGCTATCACCACATAAATGTTTTATCTAGTATTCATTAAGTTCTCTTAAGAGAAATATTCACATATTTTCTTTTCTTCTTCTTTTTTGAGATAGAGTCTCACTCTGTTGCCCAGGCTGCAGCACAGTGGTGCCATCACAGCTCATTTGCAGCCTCGAACTCCCAGCTCAAGCAATACTTCCACCTCAGCCTTCTGAGTAACTAAGATAACCGGCAAACCACCACACCTGGCTTTAAAAAAAAAAAAAAAAAAAGACAAGGTCTCAGGCCCAACACAGTGGCACAGGCCTGTAATCCCAACACTTTAGGAGGCAGAGGTGGGTGGATCACCTGGGGTCAGGAGTTTGTGACCAGCCTGACTAACAGGGTGAAACCCCGTCTCTGCTAAATACAAAAAATTCGACGGGCGTAGTGACACATGCCTGTAATGCGAGCTATTTGGGAGGCTGAGGCAGGAAAAATCGCTTGAACCTAGGAGGCGGAGGTTACAGGGAGTCAAGATCATGCCATTGCACTCCAGCCTGGGCAAAACTCCATCTCAAAAAAAAAGAGAGAGAAAGTAGCACTATGTTGACCAGGCTGATCTCGCACTCATGGCCTCAAGTGATCCTCCCACCTCAACCTCCCAAAGTGCTTGGTATTACAGACGTGAGCCACCACACCAGACAAGACAATTCATCATACTTTATGATGTTTCTACTAGAAAAGCATCTAAAGTCATAACACAAGATTGGTTACTAACCAGCCCAGAAAAATGGATTCCGATTTTCAGGTTTTCTGGTGCTGAAATCTGATCTAGATTCAGAAACTCTGGGATTCAGATATTTTTACCAACAGAAAAAAAATATTTTTATATTTTTGTTTTCTGTACCAGGACCCACTACAAGAAAATTATATTGTACTATACCCTGGTGTACATATATGGAAAACTCAGAGAAGTTCTATTAAAGTTTTATGAAATAATACTTCACTCTTGCAAAGCACATGCAATGCATCCTGGTATATTTGTTTTGGTGTTTTTTTTGGGGGTTTTTTTTTTTTTGAGACGGAGTTTCGCTCTTGTTACCCAGGCTGAAGTGCAATGGCGCGATCTCGGCTCACCGCAACCTCTGCCTCCTGGGTTCAGGCAATTCTCCTGCCTCAGCCTCCTGAGTAGCTGGAATTACAGGCACGTGCCACCATGCCCAGCTAATTTTTTGTATTTTTAGTAGAGACAGGGTTTCACCTTGTTGACCAAGATGGTCTCGATTTCTTGACCTTGTGATCCACCCGCCTCAGCCTCCCAAAGTGCTGGGATTACAGGCTTGAGCCACAGCGCCCGGCCCTGGTCTTTCTTAATTCATTTTAAAAACTAATACCAGTTGTGACCCCCTAAATTGATTTTATGACCCCATTAATAGGTTGCATACTGCAGTGGTGTGTACTCTAACTCTCCTGGGATCCGAGAAATAGAGATAAATTATAATTATGTTGAATGCCTTGAGGCAGAATGGAGTTTTCTTCATCAAGCTGAAGGAAATGGTCCTTTAGGAGTCACACTTTTGGGATTTTTGTTATAGAGAATGGTGTGAGCAAAAAAAAAAAAAATACCTAAAAAGCAGAAAAATCAAAAAAATACCTTTTGGATTTTACCTGGTTGTGCTACAATTTCACTTAGTACTGACATGACTTCCTTTTTTCTAATTTTTTTGAGTTTTTTTTTCTTTTGAGTCAGTCCCACTCTGTTGCCCAGGCTGGAATGCAATGGCACGATCATGGCTCACAGCAACCTCCTAGGTTCAAGCGATTCTCATGCCTCAGCCTGCTGAGTAGCTAGAACCACAGGCATGTACCAGCACGCCAGACTAATTTTTTTTTTTTTTTTTTTTTGAGATGGAGTTTTAGCTCTTGTTACCCAGGCTGGAGTGCAATGGCGCGATCTCGGCTCACCGCAACCTCTGCCTCCTGGGTTCAGGCAATTCTCCTGCCTCAGCCTACTGAGTAGCTGGGATTACAGGCACGCGCCACCATGCCCAGCTACTTTTTTGTATTTTTAGTAGAGACAGGGTTTCACCATGTTGACCAGGGTGGTCTCGATCTCTTGACCTCGTGATCCACCCGCCTCGGCCTCCCAAAGTGCTGGGATTACAGGCTTGAGCCACTGCGCCTGGCCTCTATTTTTTTTTTTTTTTTAACAGATGAGGTCTCCCTACGTCACCCAGGTTGGTCTCAAACTCCTGGCCCTGCTGCCTCAGGCTCCCAAAGTGCTAGGATTATGGGCATGAGAAGATTTCTTACCCTGTCTTTCATTTTTCCACAGTTACATGGAGTAAGGAATGCTTTTTGTAAGGACTAATGGCATTTTCTGAGTAAGACAGGAGCTGCATAGAGAAGAGTGAAAACGGAAATGAGCACAGAGGAGGTCTTGGGAAGGTGTTTCAGTAGCCTAAAACCACACACACAAGAAGCTTTTATGAATGGAATAACAGGACTGTGGAAACTCATGAAGCTGATCTTCATTTCTCACACTTTGGCAACATATCTCTGTGTTGCAGGAAGGATCCTTTCTTTTTTTTTTTTTGGCAGCAATAGATAAGCAGGAAGAATTTTTTAACTCTGTTCATCTACATTTTCCTAACAAGAACCCCAACAGAACCCCTATCCAAGGGTTCACAGGATTCACCTACCTCCTCGTTGACTGTTGACCCCCAGGAGTATCCAATCTGTAGCAAGGGAAAGAGGAAAGAGATGTGAGTGACCGCAGCTCTATCCCTCATAACCCTTTTACATCAGAAAATGATGGAGATAGTTATACTTTATCTTTGTGACTTATTCCTATATAGCTCAATATAAAATTACTCAGACCATTAGTGCTATGAACAAAACCAACAGGAGTAGAAACACTTCAGACAGACAAGCTCCTTCACTGCTGTGCGTTTGGTTGGTTAAAAAAAAAAAAAAAGACAAGTTCCTGAGAACAAAACCCTGCTGCTCTCTTACCCACATTCCTGGCCAGAAATGAGAGGCCCAGCAGCCCTTCTAGAGTTTCCTGCCTTCTGGCCCCACGGCTTCCCTGCTAGCTATGCTAGTGAACAAGGCAGAAGAATTATTTTTCTCAATCTGCGTCGGAAGAAAAAGAAAAAAAATAGAGTAGGATATCTTTAAAGCCTAAAGTTCACTTTCTGTGGCCAGTCTTCCAGCCAGATTCTGGAAAATCTGTGAAGATGACTTTTCTCTTGTGTGTCAGTATGGCATGTATTTTTTGCATGCATGTGTATATATCTGCATGTATGCTGGTACTACAGGATATATTCCCACTGTTCTTCAAAATTTCAATTTAGTCCAGCTTTCTTTTTTTTTTTTTTTTGAGACGGAGTTTTGCTCGTTACCCAGGCTGGAGTGCAATGGCGCAATCTCGGCTCACCGCAACCTCCGCCTCCTGGGTTCAGGCAATTCTCCTGCCTCAGCCTCCTGAGTAGCTGGGATTACAGGCACGTGCCACCATGCCCAGCTAATTTTTTGTATTTTTAGTAGAGACGGGGTTTCACCATGTTGACGGGGATGGTCTCGATCTCTTGACCTTGTGATCCACCCACCTCGGCCTCCCAAAGTGCTGGGATTACAGGCGTGAGCCACCGCGCCCGGCCATCCAGCTTTTTTTCTAATAGAGACAAGGTCGCACTATGTTGCCCAGGCTGGTCTCAGTGATCCTCCTGCCTCAGTCTCCCAAAGTGCTAGGAGTATAGGCGTGGGCCACCAAGCCCAGCCCAGGCCTAGTTTCTTACTAGGTCGTCCCTCTGTGTTTGTGTTTGCATTTGTGTATCAGCCTCTTTTTGGCTTTGCAATCTGTTTGCTCGTTTATTTATGTATGTGACCCTCTTTGGGTGGTTAACATGCATTTGTGTGTCTTCGTGACACCTGAGTTTCATAACTCTCAGGAGGCCTTTCCCCTGGTCTGAAGTCTTGTCACATTCCTGCCCATTTTTCCTTAACACAAAATATGTTGTTTTCTTCTCTCTTATAGGAATCCCAGAGCTCCATACCAAGCATCTCCACCGCTATTCCTCTTCAACCTCATTCCATCCCACCTCCTGCCACACGCACGTATAGCTGGGGAGCTGAGGGTTTCCGGAGCAAAGAAAGGACTCACCAGAGGGGATGACGAATGCAGCAAGAAACAGCAGCACCTTGGGTCCCAAGGGCAGCATATCTATAGGGGTGGGAGCACAGAATGTGATGCTCAGGGGCACATCTGCATTTCAGCGCCAGGGAAAGGTACCTCTGGGTCCCTGCCTCTTTGTCTTCCCAGGAACTTTGTTCATTTTCCCTTATGACTCGAACCTTTTCTCTCTTTTCTTACCTGTCACCCAACATTCATTTCTCCCTCAAATCTGTTCTTTGGTCACTTACCATTATTCTTGCTCTTATAATTCTCTTCCATCAAATCAGAAGAAATTTTACATTCTACACGGTCTGTACTTAGCCCTACCCTTTGGCCTCTTTCACCCCAATGTCAAATCTTCCTTTCTCATATGATTGACTTTTTCCTATCATCTGCTCATTTCGGCGTCTGCTTCATTTGAAATGCGTGGTTATTTGGAAGTCTGCTCGAGTCTAAGTTCGGTGACATTCCCCATTGCCCCTCTCCAGCCCTTTCACACACACACACAGACACACACACATTCCCTCTGCCTATTTAGAGTTTTAGGTACCAAACAACTCACTGTCTATGGTGTTCTGGTCTTCCTGCCGATTCCTTTGGCTGCTCAGTGCGTCTCTCTCTTCTGCTGTTCTTAACTTTGGCTGGAGGAGGATGTGCACAGAGCCACTCCCTGGAAAGAACTTGGGATTTGGCCTCTGGAACAATGAGATGAGGGAGAGTGAGAAAGCCAGGCTAGGGATAGCATGTGTGTTACTATCAGGCTGGGATGAGAAGGGAGATGGGAATCTGCATCGCGCACACCCTCATGCCAAACGTTATGACCACGCGGGTGGGAGCTCTCGCTGCTGCCTGGAAGGGTTGGCCCCAGCTTGTGTATTGACTTTCTTCCATCAGCCTATTTTCCCTCCTCTCACGATCTGGTCCCAGCTCCCCTTTTTTCCTGGCTTTCCTTCTTACCTAAAAGTTTCTTATCCTTGCTGTTTCTCTCCTCCTCTGGCTATCTTTTTTTTTTTTTTTTTTTTTTTTTTTTCCGAGACTGAGTTTCGCTCCTGTCCGACTAGGCTGGAATGCAGTGACATCATCTCGGCTCACTGCAAACTGTGCCTCCTGGGTTCAAGCGGTTCTCCTGCGTCAGCCCTCAATCTTCCATATTTGAGTCATTCCTTCATCCCTGTGGGAAGTGGAAAAGTTCCTTTTTAAAGTTTCCTTTCTTGTTAAAGAATAAGTGTGCTAATAATTTTGTTAAGCCCTATCCTGTGTAGTTATTAGACATGCCCTGCTTACAGCCACATAGTACATTCTGTGTCCTTGTACTTAAACCAAGATAGCTGTGCTGGACGTGCTCACAGGCATGTCCCAGCTCTCCATTGCTTTTACCTGTTTAAAAAAAGTTTTAAGTTGTTAGCCAATCGGGTTTTAGATTGTGAGGTCTGACTCCCGCCAACAGAGATCAGACACAGCATTAAAGACGACCCCAAATGCGTAAGAAATACATTTGTGTGTTTCCCTTTGTTCTTTCTATACTGGTAGCTGGATGGCTAGTGAGAGTACCCTGTGTGTTTCCTTCTGTTATTTGTACTCACGTAGCATGATGGCTTCTGAGAGTACGCTTCCTGCAGTCCAGGATGTAAAAATTACTTTGCTGAAAGATCCTTTGTCTCAGTGCTAATTTTTCTTTGCAGCACCGAGCATCTATTTCCAACAATCCCTCTTTTTCACTTTCTTTTTCAATATTCACCTCATCAACACTAAGAAATTCCTTTTTACATCTGTATTTCTTTTTCATCTCTGCCTCTTCTTGACCTACACATTTAGACTCTTTCTGGTTTTTTTTTTTTTTCCCCCGGGAATATCCTATACATTCTCACAACCAAGAAAACACAGATACCATATGAGTTTTGTCCAAGAGGAAGGCTGGCTGTCTTAGGGTCATAAAAAGTTGAGGACATTTTCAGAACTCTCCAAATCATTTTCAAATGTAGAGAAGTTCCATGAGAGGAGTGCGAGCCTTACTCTGTCTTTTGGCTTTGTTTGAGCTTAACTAAAGAAACTTGGTTTCTGGGATCTCTTTTTTTTTTTTTTTTTTTTTAAAGGTGGGGTTTCATCATGATAGCCAGGCTGGTCTTGAACTCCTGACTTCAGGTGATCCACCCACCTCTGCCTCCCAAAGTGCTAGGATTACAGGCATGAGCCACAGCACCCGGCGGGTTTCTGGGATCTTAAGGATAAAATGCAATCAGATGCCCAAAGAAAATTGAAAAGCAAGGTTATTGTGTTTGCCTTGTATTCTACCAATATTTTTCCTTAGATCGTGTAATGTGTAGATAACACTTTCTCTGATCCAGGAATTTTTTTAAATTTTATTTATTTATTTTTTTAAGATAGGGTCTTGGTCTCTTGCCCAGACAGGAGTACAGTGGCATGATCATGGTTCACTGCAGGCTTGACCTCCTGGACTCAAGCGATCCTCCTGCCTCAGTCGCTGAGACTACAGGTGTATGCCACCATGCCAAGCCAATTTATTTTTATTTTTTGTAGAGACAGGATTTTTCCATGTTGTTCAGGCTTGATCCAGGAATTTTAAAGACTTTGTATTTGTTCTTCATCATCAAGACTCTAGTGGTTAAACCACTAAAACAGTCCCGCTTTGGATTCAAGAGCAAACTTGAATTACAGAAAATCAAGTCTGAGGAATAGTGGACCTTGTATGGGATAGAAATATGTAAGGTTCCAATTATCTGTTGGCTCTTTTAGTCTCCCTGATGAAATAAATTAGAGAAGAGTACAGGTAGACAGACAGCAGTTAGTATTAGTAAATGACAGACTAGAAGAAAAGAAAAGGGGTATGATGGAAGGAAGGAAGGAGTCTAGCTGAGAGGAAGAAAGAGCAGTGGACACAGAAATAAGCAAATTGCACTTTGTAAGCACCTCTGGGACCTCCGAGGAAGTTGTAAGGGCTGCATCTCTGAGACACATGGAATCTGGTCAGTCCCCAGAACAATGTGAGTGCTACGCCCAGCTCTTCCTGATCTTCCTGCCCAGAACTTGCTTCTCTCCCGTCTGCTCCACAATGAGGGGGCTGAGGCTAGAAAACAGATGTGATTCTAGTCCAGGGAGAATCAGGGAAAGAAAAGGGTGTGGGGAGAAGAAACAAAAAAAGCAGAAGCAAAGCAGGACATAGCTAAGGCAGGACGATTTGGAGAGCTTAGAGCAACAATCAAGTTTTCCGTGAAGCTCAGGCAGCTACAGAGCTAGACTCAGGCCAGTCATTTGGCGGGCAGAGCAATGATCTCAATGTTCTGGCCTGGCTAGAGGAGAGCCTCCCCAAGCAGTGGGAGGGGTGTTCTCCTGGGGGTGTAGGATGTAATCTGGACTTGGAGCAGTGAAAATAGGAACAGAGTGCACAGAGCAGGGCTAAAGAAGAGAATAGGCAGAGAGTAGCATCCCAGAAGGAAAGGAGAGGTGGTGAGGCAGGAACCAGCAGGAGAGCAGGACAACCATATATTGTTGTTGGGTTTTAGAGACATTTAAGAATGCAGTTTGTGGCCAGGCGCGGTGGCTCATGCCTGTAATCCCAGCACTTTGGGAGGCCGAGGCAGGTGGATCACGAGGTCAGGAGATCGAGACCATCCTGGCCAACATAGTGAAACCCTGTCTCTACTAAAAATACAAAATTTAGCTGGACGTGGTGGCATGCGCCTATAGTTCCAGCTACTTGGGAGGCTGAGGCAGGAGAATTGCTTCAACCTGGGAGGCAGAGGTTGCAGTGAGCCGAGATTGTGCCACTGCACTCCAGCCTGGTGACAGACCGAGAGTCTGTCTCAAAAAAAAAAAAAGAATGCAGTTTGTTTCAAGGTTGGCTAATTTCTCTTTTCTTTTCTTTTTTTTTTGAGACGGAGTTTCGCTATTGTTATCCAGACTGGAGTGCAATGGCGCGATCTCGGCTCACCGCAACCTCCGCCTCCTGGGTTCAGGCAATTCTCCTGCCTCAGCCTCCTGAGTAGCTGGGATTGATTACAGGCACTCGCCACCATGCCCAGCTAATTTTTTGTATTTTTAGTAGAGACGGGGTTTCACCATGTTGACCAGGATGGTCTCGATCTCTTGACCTCGTGATCCACCCGCCTTGGCCTCCCAAAGTGCTGGGATTACAGGCTTGAGCCACCGCGCCCGGCGGTTCTTTTTTTTTGAGATGAAGTCTCAGTCTGTCCCCCAAGCTGGAGTGTAGTGGCAGGAACTTGGCTCACTGCAACCTTCACCTCCTGGGTTCCAGTGATTTTCCCGGTTCAACCTCCCTAGTAACTGAGATTACAGGCACCCGCCACCACACCCGGCTAATTTTTGTATTTTTGGTAGAGAGGGGGTTTTACCATGTTGGTCTGGCTGGTTTCGATCTCCTCACCTCAAGTGATCTGCCCACCTCGGCCCCCCAAAGTGCTGGGATTACAGGTGTGAGCCACCACACCTGGCCAAGGTTGGTTAACTTTTTCATGGCAACTATGGTGGGCCCTTTATTCTACTACAGTTCCACATTTGTTTTCAGAGCCGGGGTTTGGATCCCCAGGCTTACAGATCTTCAGATTTGCTTTTCTTCAGGTAATTTGGTCAGCCTCTGTTCCATTGTACATCAATTGATCATTTAATAAATCAGCACCAATGGTCAGAAATGAGCAGATGCTATCCAGAGTTACAAGTCCATAATTTTCTGGGGTTCTTTTTTACTTACTGGGTAGCAGTCTGTACTTCCATCCCACAGAGGATGGATCTCCTGGGGGTAGACAACATATTCTCCAGCAAAAAGAAAGCCCTTGCGGGATTGACTGGCAGGTGTAGGAGTGACTTAATGAAGGCAATCTATGTTTGAGTTACCCAGGAAATTTTTAGTTTTTATAAAACGTCTGTGAACGATGGGCAAAGTGCAAGGAAGAGGAGAGAGGCAGAGACTGGAGATGTCAGGCTGGCTTTATTCATCTGTTTATCAGCCTGTAAAGAATACACCCATTAGGCCGGGCGCGGTGGCTCAAGCCTGTAATCCCAGCACTTTGGGAGGCCGAGGCGGGTGGATCACAAGGTCGAGAGATCAAGACCATCCTGGTCAACATGGTGAAACCCCGTCTCTACTAAAAATACAAAAAAATTAGCTGGGCATGGTGGCACGTGCCTGTAATCCCAGCTACTCAGGAGGCTGAGGCAGGAGAATTGCCTGAACCCAGGAGGCGGAGGTTGCGGTGAGCCGAGATCGCGCCATTGCACTCCAGCCTGGGTAACAAGAGCGAAACTCCGTCTCAAAAAAAAAAAAAAAAAAAAAAGAATACACCCATTAGCTGAAGGCCTCTGGGCAAATGTACAGCAACGTTATTACTATAGTCCCATCCAACTAAATTAAATCCAGGAACTAAACACACACACACACAAATTCCCCATAAAAGGAAGGAAAAGAAAGGAGGGTTCAATGAGGCAGGGAGGGCAAGGAGAGGGAGTGGTGTGTGCAGAGGAATGAAGCAATGAAGTAGTAACAGCCAAACACAAAAGATGGACTTAGATGCCAAAATACATATGTCCTTAGAAAACGTAGGCTAGGGAACACTTGTTTGTCCATCAGAATCCAGTCTAGATGTGGCTTCCGGCCAGAAACTTTTCCTGGTCCCCTCTGCTTCTGAAGAGTTCAACATTCCCTCTATGAAACCAGCTCTTTGCTTATTTGTATAACTACATAATCCACTTTATTAAACTCTTTTACATATCTTTAATCCTTGTGAGGCTGTGTTTCTTTTTCTTATTTTTTTAATCT